CTTAAGTGAAGTTGCTGAAATTTTGACACCTAATAGATTCAAATTTTAATTATATTATCTTGTGTGCTTGAAATAGTATATAAAATAATTGAAGAAGAATTTATTTTAATTATAATCTTCATTATGTTTATAATTGCAAGATGGTTTCAATTTTGAAGATAAATGGTTTCATAATTTCTAGTTGTATTAATACATAAAGGTCTTAATTGCATCAAGAATAATTAGATTATTGTGTGTTGAATTATATCAAATATGATGAAATTAAAATAAGCTTATTTGATCAAAAAATTGTTCCTAATTAAATAAAATAGAAAAATGAATGATTAATAAAGAATACACATCATTCTTAATCATTTCCAAAACATGTTGATTCACTATTTAAAAGTGTTCAAATAATAAATAAAGAATTCAAATTATATATTATTGTAAAAATTGAACATAAGATTGCTTGGGAATTTCAGAAGATCAGTTATATTGACTGGTGAAGTTTTGTTTATACAAAGGTACTTTAATTTGTCTATTTAGGTGGATCATTAAGAAGGTAAGGTAAATATGATGAAGCATTCGTGATGTTAGACTAAGTATTGAATTTTAATCCTAATAATGATTTTTCAATAGGCAGGAAATGTTTAAATATATTGTTATTTATAAAAGAGCTTGCTTAAACTATTGTTTAAAATCTGTTAAATCATTATCTAAGCATTAAGAAATTATTCTGTTGTATCAATAAGGTTATTTAGATTGATCCTAAATCTGGTGGGTTAAAAAATAATAAAAACATGTTTAATTATTTATATAAATAGGGAGTGTAAAATAATTAAATATTAATATATGATTCAAATAATTATTGAATAATATATTTGGTAGAGTTCATAACAATATTAGTCATTTTAATTTAGATTTATCTATTAAAATAATAATTTTTTTGAAACTCTAACACTCTTTTTAGAGAGAATTATTTAGAATTGTTGATTAAACAAATTGATTAGCACTACTTAATAATTATTATTATTCAATTTTTCGATCAATCAAAAAATAATTTTAATTAAATAAAATGAAAGATAAAAGATTTATCAAATAACAGAATTTTATATTTATTGATT